AGTGTTGTTCAGCATGGGGGTGAGTAGAAAATGAAGGCTAATCATGTTTTGGGTGTACTATTCCTTTAAGTTCTTTACATAGAAGATCTATTGGACTCTAGTCATTTTCTTTCTCTGTAACCAATGGTGAGTTTCCTTGGCTGTGTGTTTGGGGTCATTGTGTTGCTGAATTGCCCACCCAAGTTTCATCTTCATCATCCTGGTAGATGGCAGCAGATTTTTTTATCAATAATGTCTCTGTACATTTTTGCATTCATCCTTCCTTCAATTATTTGAAGTCTGCCAGTACCATATGCTGGAAAACAGCCACACTTCCAAATTTCTCTGTTGGTATGGGATTTTTGGGGTGATGTGCCGTCCAATCTTATCTCCAAACATGATGTATGTATTATGGCTTCCATAGAGGTCTCATCTGACCAGACTATATTCTCCTAGTATGTCACTGGCTTGTCTAAATATTGTGCAGCAAACTTTAAATGAGCTTGGATGTGATTTTTCCTCAGCAATGGGTTCTTGCATGGTGAGCGTGCATACAGGCCATGGCGGTTGAGTGCATTACTTATTGTCTTCTTTGAAACAATTATATTGGCTAATTCCAGGTCTATTTGAAGCCCTCCACTAGTGGTCTTTGGCTCTTGGACAACTCCAAAGTCTTTTCACTCCTCTGTCAGAAATCTTGTGAAGAGCTCCTGTTTGTGGTCGGTTTATGGTGACATAATGTTCTTTCCACTTCCAGATTATGGCCCCAACAGGTTGCAAAGGTCTCCAGAAAGATCTTTATTTTTACCCATCATGAGATGTTTCTTGTGCAATACCAGAGACATCTTTTTATTGGCAATTATTCTGGACTGAACCGACTGATATTAATTTGCACTGACAACAGGCAGGACCGCTTTCTAATTACTGAGAGTTTTTGGCTGGTGTCTTGGCTTTCCATGCATTTTGCATCTTCCTTTCTGCACATGTTTAATTCTTTTTTCCCGGTGCCATTCCACAATAATACAAATAATACCTCTAGAAAAGTACTTACTGAGAAAAATGGTGGCGTGTTCAATACTTATTTTACCCACCGTACAGCTTTAAGATAGATGTGAAAGTAGTATGAAAAGCGCACATTCATCTGGTTTAGTTTCATATAAGAATTCAGGATAATATGCAAAAAATGAATGGAGATTCAAGGATGTTCTTTCATGTTTTTGTGCTATATTAATAAGAAAAAAGGGACATTTTTGAAAGAAGATCATAAAAAGGGCCACGGTTTTTGCCTCCAATTATGTACAGGACAAGGCAATCATGAGGAAGACAGTAAATGGAGCTAAAAGTATTAAGTAAAAATGTGCAGAAACTATGGCTGAAAGATACCACAGTATAGAGATAGTGTGGATAGAGGTTTTTCTTTCATGGGATGGTTTTATTCCCCAAACAAGAACATAGAAACTGGACAGACGTGAATGGAAGAAAGTCAGAGCAAAATACTGGACAATAACCTGTTACAACTGCAAATGAAATCTGCAGACATTTGTCGGAAAACTATTTTTAGATGGTTTGGTAAAATGTAAAAACCCTATTTCATTTTGATTCCCTTTGCAGTAATTTGTTTCTGTGTGATCATCAAATATCCTGATCTTCAGACAGTTTCTGCATCTTCCAACAGGTGCAAAACTGTTTTTAAGTGAAGAGGAGATCTTTAGAGAAAGTGCAAAGTCACTTCAGTTTGCTTTTCACCATTTTTCAACATTTATCACATATAAAGCAATTTTCCAAATAAAAAACTCAAATGTGGCCACAGTTTTCTGATCTATTTCAGTGCTTCTGAAAGTCAAGTACAAACTTGCAAAGGTGTCGCTGGTACAGAGGATAGGGAGAGATTCTGGGTGTATGTGAACATATTTGGACCATCAGAAATAATATACTAATAGAATAATATTAAAGAAAATACATCCGTGATATTGGGCTCAAATGAATGCAGCTGGATGGAAGACAATCTGTATAAGAAAACAAAAAAAAAGTACTGAAATGAAATATAGTGGCTAGTTTAAATAAAATAGAATATCAATGGTCTGCAAAGATGTAAAAGTGGGGGCAGGAATGAGTGGGCGGCGTCGAAGTGGAGGGCCAATCAACAGACATTTGGCCCATGTTTTATATTTCATTATCATAATTAAATTATCGTCGTTATTTGGCATTTTTAATTCTGTTCATAGAACCTACAGATACACTAACCATGTAAAGTGTTCTAAGAAAATCATTTAGTATTTGCATTATTATAATTTTTTCAATAACTCATTATTACTGTAACTGCATGGCTGAAGGAAACTGCTTGGTAAGTTTCAACATTTAAGCAGAAATACTTGTAGATCACCTGCAGTACGCTCACTTATTGCACCCTCTAAAAAATGTCCTGAGCAATTATCTCTCATTTGGAACCTTTGACGATCAGACACTAAATGTTAGAAGGTTGAAGTGGTCTTAAACTTTTGCATTGCACAATGAATGTTAACTGTCAGGTTTTGGCAGTAATTTTCACAGTCCTCCTACTGCTGGTTCTCAGGCATTACCTGTCAGGTATGACGAAGCCTTAAACTTCATTAAGTATAGATAGTTAATGAACTGCTGGCTGTAATAAAAAGCTGCAGTAATTAATCACCAACTTTTAATAATTAGAGCTACTTGTGCAGCCCTCCCTGCCTCTCTGCTCTGGAGGGATGGCGATGTGACAAATGTAATGCAATGTGGGGGAAATATGTCCTTACTTTAAAACAATCCTGTCTGATTTACTTTGTTTGGACTCTAGAGTTGATTACTGTTTATGTTTTAGTGAGTGAATGAATGAATGAAAACAACTTTGACCGTTTGTTTAACATTGAACACATGGGGCAGCAGATCTGATTTAAAAAGAACTTTTTAACAGATTTTATAATGATAATAATTTCATAACATATAAACTTTTGCCACTTTGTTTGTTAGTCTCCTTACAGTTCTCTGTTAGTGTCTAAACATGGCATGAAGTGATGATGACACCATTTGTTTAACGAGAAACGCTGCAGCTGCATAGACAGGACAACACAAAATAGGAGGGCAGGACGGAAATGTTGCCTTTCGCTCATTAATTACACAATCATGCTAAGCTGCATGCTTCCCTATCAACCAGATGTTGGGTAATTAACCTCAGTATGAAGAGAGCTGGCCCATTGTATCTCACCTTCCAGACTGCAATGGAACCCAGGCACAGATAAGGGCAGCCACTCCAGAGGGTTCCACAGACATGGGAACCAAACTCACCTGGGCTGAGCCAAACCCATTCAAAATGAACACAGGTCCCATTAAAAATGCCTGGAATGATTAATAATGTCTTTTCCATGTGCAAAATATTGGCATGTTTCTGCAGAAGCCCAACGGTCATAGTAACAATGTTCAAATTAGCAAAACATTAACGTCAACCGCTCCATCCTAGGCGGCGGCGGTGGTTAACCTAACGACTATTAATACATTTAAAGATTTTTTATAACAGAAAAAAAAGTTTTCTCCATTTTAAGGATTATTTAAAAACAGTAAATTATTAAAATCAGATACAAACAAGCAATTAAAAACAAAAAAATTCTAAAAAGAAAAATGATTTATAAAATAGAGACCAGATCTCTGAGCTAGTAGGTAGAAGCGGTACCACTCAAGGCTGCTGACCTCCTCCTCTGCCGTAAATCACTGCTCCATCGCAAAGTTATAATCTCTGGGATTGCTCTGCTGACCATGTTTGTGTTGCTGTATTGCTTAATTTCAAAAACACTGTTCTTCATGACATTTTGTGCATAAAAACAAAGCCATACTACCTCAGAAAAACTAAAGGGTGATAGCTGTTACAAACATAGCTGTTACACACAGTCAAAGTAGCAAAGTTTACCTACTGCCTAATGCTAATAAAAGCCACCATGAATGCAGAAGTAGGCAATGGTCATGTGGCCCAAAATAGATCTGGTTGGAATAATGTCTTTCTAGGGCGTTTCAAGTTGTCATTTCAAACTACAGGAAATTTTGACTTCAGGATACAAATTCAAAGCACATTTGATGATAAAGGAACAAAAAGTTTAATTTGAGTTATACCTGCACTCTGAACACCTGAGAAATGACCAACAGTCCCGTTCTGGGCTTCAGGTTCAGGATTGGAACAAAGTATCTGGCTATGTAAGTCATATAATTTCCACATGCATTTGGTTTACAGAGTGGACCGCGCCTCTCACCCGCAGACAGCTGGAGATGGGCACCAGCACCCCTTTCCACGCCGCTTGGGTTAAGCATGAAGGATAATAGATGGATGGATTTGGTTTACAGGCCAAGGATGATGATGAACTGCTTGCTATTAATTGCTTGATATAATGATCCCTCAAACACCTCAAAAACTGGACACTGAATTAAATTAGATAGTTTATATTAGAGAATGAAACATTCATGCCTGACATTTCCTTCTCTTACTATTAAGCTAGTTTGTTATAAATTGTATGAACTACACATACAGAAATATAAATAACTCTGACTTCTCTCATTTTGCAGGTGTTAGCATGTGGGTAGGTAGGAGGGCAAGTCCTACCATTTTAACAGGTAAGCCTGGAGCTGCTTCACTGTTTAATAAATGTAATGTTCCTGATGACAGGACCCCCTCCCTACCAAGCAGTTTATATACTATATATATATATATTTATTACTGAAACAGAAACCTTGGGATAAATGGTTCAGCTAAGATAGAAAACAAAGAAAAGAGGCTTTAGGTTGTCTGAATGATTCATATCTCTGCTTTTATTATTTATGTGAGAATTTATCAAAGCTTCATAGTCTGAAAATGCTGTTATTATTCCAGAAAATATACTGTATTTATCCCACTGCTCTCCAACCAAAACTGTTCTACCAATGTGAAATGTTTTCATGAAAGAAAAATCTTATAAAGATTAGCATTCTGTGAGCTCTGTTTGTTTGTATGATTGTTCCAGTGTTTGCAGCTTTCTTCTGACCTGTTGCAGCTCCTCCTGGTCGCCGCCCACCTCCAGCGCCACAGCAACCGATGCGAAGGGACGGCTGGCCATCTGCTGCCGCTCTCTCATCAGCTGCTACACAGAAAACAGAGAAAAGGGAAGAATTTCAATGGAATATCATTGGCTTTTAAATCCAATGCTTTGTGTCATTTTAATATTTGTATTGCTTTAACACATTTCCTATAAAGTTTTGTTCAGCATGTCTTCCTTACAGAGAGAATTTAATTTATTTGAATTGAACCAATGAAAGCTCCATGGATGATGTAGGCATATCTGGGGATGTTTAACGAATGAGGACCTGACTTGAGGACATTAACGGTCTATATTAAGGCAAACGCCTTTATTTCATTAGGCAAAATGGACAAAATGTGATGCAATTGGTCTTGAAAAGTCAAAAACTGTCCACCAGAGAGGTCGCACTGATAAAAGGTTTTATGGCAAACAGTCCAAAGGAACACTTTATTGAGTGAAAAGACACATTTTAATTGCCAGTTGAAGGTGAAGCTTCTGGGAATCCGTTCTCCTCCTACAACTTTCACATTTTAGACCTTCAACCTGCAGGAAAGCCCAGTAGTATCATTGAGTTCAGTCCAAGGAGACATGAACAGAACGAGGACGGCTGAAACCGACCATCACTATAACAAGAGTAGTTCAGGTTGAAACGTCATGATAGGATGAAGACAGATCCTTTAAAGGTAGAGGGACTGATAAGATGAGAGCGGCTGTTGGCACAGAAAACTACTTCAGCTCCGAAGCTGGACATGGTGTCTCGATATTAAAGGTGAGCCCGTTGGACCTTCTTTGGATTAAATCAGACACAGAAACAACTTACAGCCAGTTATTTGAAGACATTTTACCCAAGTAGTGGTGAGGAATGGAGTTCTGCATCTTTTAAAGAGATCATGGATGTTATGCAGGACAATCTTTAATCCCTCACACTTTAGAAAAGCTTTAAATGTGAAAGAAGTCCTGAACTTTGAATAAAACCGTACAGATGTTTTTCATAATGAAGGAAGACGGTCCACGTCTCTGTCCTGTTTGAGACCAAACCAAAACCAAAACGCTGCACCATAGGTAATGAATGCTATCAATTGTGTTTTTGCTCCATGTTTTTTATCTACCACACTGTTTACATTTGATCGCTGTTGCAATTCAAGAAAGGGAACTGTCATGAAAGCTTTAATAAATGAAATTTTGTTTTTTATACACTCTGTGTACCAGTGACAAAAGTTGTCTAAGTCTAATTGTTAAATATCAATGGATTATAGCCAAAAATAGAAGGTTTGCAGCTCTAAATTAAGAAAAAAGTTGTTTTTTTTCTTTTTAAAATGCCCAGTAGTATTTTTTGGTACATTTTGAATTGTTGGCTCATGACTCTCAGTAACAGAGGAAATATTTAGGACAGGCATGCCTGAAGACCATCCTTGAAGGCCTCTGTCCTGAAGGTTTTAGAGGTTTCCCTCCTGCAGTAGAGTATGAATAGTTTTGTAATGCAAATGAACTGGAGATTTAAAAAAGGATGCATTTGAAATAGTATACCTTTAAATGAACAATGAAGAGAGACAGGAAAGAAGGAAATATTAGAAAGATTGGGAGTAAACAAAAAGTGAGAATGAAGGAAGGCAGAGAGGAGCAAGGAACAGACGCTCAGGCAACAATAGTCAGAAAAAAACAGGATGGACAACTTCACTGATGGTGAAATATCCAACTCACAAAAAATAGTTTGTTTCCTGGAGTTAGCTTGCGGCAGAGCCACCTGTTCCTCCAAAAAATTCCCAGTCAATTATACAGGATGGAGTTATCATCGTTACACTGTTTGGGTTTGAGCCAAATCTTTTGCATCCATATTGTGTTCACATTTGCATCTCACAGAACGTCCTCCGGGAAAGCTGCTTAGACAGAGCAACCTGTTTGTTTAAAGCCTAAAATGCTTTATTTAACAGATAGCATCAAATAATAATAAAAAAATAAATAGATAAAACAAAAAGATGCTGATGAACCATGACCTTAGAAGCGTCCCTACCCTGACAAAAGATATAAAGCAAACCTCAAAGATCAGAGAAAGGAGCTCCAGTGTGAAAGACAAATCCCTGTCTATTGAAGAGATCCTAAAGGTCCGACCAGTGCTCAGATCATCACCTTCTATTTAGGGTAATATAGTTTCCTCGCTGGGAAAAATGCTGACAAAATGACAAAGACTTAGACAGATTTTATTTGTCATTTTGTTTACACAAGTGTTAAACAAAAAGAAATTTCGTTTGGAAGCAGCTCTCTGGACAATTTCATCTTCTTTAAAAGTGCAGCCTCGAAAAATAGTAATAAAAATAAATAAAAACATTAATATAAACATATAAATCACTGTAAATTTACAGTTCTAACGTTTTTTTTTTTATATATATATATATAATGATAAAATATAATAAATATAATAAATACAATAACCCATTTTACACAACATTCAGTACATTAGTCTGACGGCGGTGGGGAAGAAACTTTTCTGGAATCTGCAGGTCCTGCATCTGATGCTGTGAAGCCTCTTCCCAGAGGGCAGCAGGGAGAACAGTCCATGGTGGGGGGGGTGAGGGGTCATTGATGATGTCACGGGCTCGGGACATGCAGCGCTGGGATGAACAGACAGGCTCGCCTCACCCTCCTCCAATCACACAGTTGGATACAAAATTTAATTTGTTTCTTTTTCTTTATACCTGATGGCCTTTTGAGGCTGTTATCTAAACCCATTTTTTCCTTGAAGGACCATATTTGTTGTTACTTAGAAGCAATTGTCCATTGCATTCGGTTACATCATTATATATTATGCAACTGCACATTTATAAATTACATTTTTATTAATTGATAACAAAACTATTGATCACTACTATTGATCACTAGAGGAAATAGAGTCAGTGAGCTCTATGCTAGATCAAGTAACCAATGAAATAACATCTGGAACAGAAAATAGACAAACAGTTCAGAATAAAGTTCAGAAATTCCTCTAGAAATCAGACTTGCATTCATTTTACTTCATGGCTTTGTTATTAGTACAAATGTGGAATATTTTGGTCTGTGTATGTTGTGTGAGAGAGATGCAAAATGTGATGAAGGGATAGTGATGTACTGTAAATGTGTTATTGTATTTACTGATAGGATATTTACTGCAGTAGAATGTTGTCATGCTGGTTGATGCTGAACTCATATTAAACATTTACATCATATGTTACACCTCTTGCCTCAACATGTACTTTTCATTTACTGCTTAACAAATTAATTATTTTCAGTATTATTTTTATTTCCGATTTTATTTTGACCTCTGAAAATATCATATACATATCATTTCCAGCTCTTGTCATTTCTTTCCAAATGCTTGGCTTTTACTGGTCCTTTAATTCTGCTGCTCAGCTCTCAGTCGGCAGAACTTCAGTCTCCAAACTGGTAAAGTTTCTCTCCTTCATCTTCAAATCGCTTTCTGTGAATGAGCAAGCGTGGGAATTCATATCCTTATAAAGCATGATCGGGGCATTAATTATGCACATTTACATTTCTCGCAATGTGCGTTCAAGTATGCACAGGTGGAAGCATCAGGTTTACAAGGCTTATCTACAATCCTTTACTGAAGTTAAGAACATTTGTTGAATCAGATGAGGTGAATTTGTAAGAACCCAGAGGAGAGCAACTGGGAGAAATGAACAACAATGTTGTTGCAAGAGGCCTATTGATTGTAGGATTCGTTCCTCCTGCATGTGGCAACAGCCGACATTCACCTGCATTGTGTTAAAACCGCAGCAATTCTTAACATGAAGTGACAGTGAAGAGAAAACATGTAACACTACGGCTTAATTGTCGACAGTTTGTGTTTTTACTGCTCTAACTGAAGAGAATTTGGTCTGTACGACACAATTTTAAAATGCAATTTATAAAACTCAATCAGATAAACCAATAAAGAGTGAAAACTTTATTTCAATTTAGATGTTTTATTTAAGTATTTGGTTTTTTTTATTTCTATTTGTTAAATGTTGTCTTTGCTTTGTGTCATAGTGGAAAAACAATCAGATTTGCTAATCATTTCTTTGTGATGTTTAAATTAATCTAAAAACATAGAGTTATACCTTTGGAGATAAAGGTTGGGAAAAGCTGGTGTTAATTATGATTGTAAAAAAAATCCCAGAAGCAATAAGAGCCCAATCTGACTGTAAGATGGGGGAGAATGCAGAAGAGAAAAAAATTGAAGCCGCTGCAAGGGTCATGAAAAGAAAAGTGAAATAAGCCACTTTTAAATGTCCTCATCTTGCACACTCTGCTGCCTCTCCCTAAACAGGAGCGCCTCTCGTACCTGCGTGTCCTCCCCTGTTTCTGAAAAAGCTGCACGCTGACATTAACTAGCTGTCAGGTGTTGTGGGAGCGAGCCGCTGGCTGCTCGCCTGCCGGTGTCAGGTTCTTTAAGCATGAATGAATACTACACCTGTAGCTACAGCGGCTCAGAGGCTCGCTCTGCTAGCATGCTGCCACACCAGCTAATGTTATGTCTTTTCTTGTTAGCTGTCAGTGCTTTGCTAACTCAGCTGGGATGACAGTTTGTGCTGGGTAGCATTGCTGTTAGCCTCCTGCTGTTGTCAGCTTGGATCACTGAGATGTGAGAAGGTTTGGGTGGGATGGGAGCTTTAGAGTCAGGGATAACTTCCTCTCTAAATTATCCTAAATCACTGGTAAACATGATGTTTGGCGGCATTTGGAAGGCAGTTTTTCATTGTTATCAGATAGTTTTTGTGACTTTTACCTAAAGGTTGAGAATAATAAGCCGTTACTTTTCATATCTCTTGTCAACTTCTGATTGCTGGGTTAAAATAAGCTTTAAAAAGAGCCTAAATGTTCTTTTTTTATCCAAATGTGTTTATTCTGTTAACATAGAGAAACGTTTATCCAAATAGATATATTACTTTATCTAACATGGTCACTCTAGGAGATATTATTCTTTTGGAGGTAAGTCTCATAAGACACAGAAAGCTTGCTAAAAACAAGATAACCATCTAATTATAACGTGTTAGGATATCTAAAGTTCAACCTTGCCCTACACCGGCGTG